TTTTTATATGCAAGTAGTAAAAAACGGTTATTTCAATATTACAAACAGACACTCCAATTTTATTTATATGCATAGATTAACGTTAATAAATTATATATATATATATATATATATATATTTGAATAATTTTATAAACTGGTATTTTATACGACCTCGGTGGTCTAGCGGTTTAGTATAGTCTTACCTTTTAATGGTCGTAGGTTCGATCTCACAGTGCAAACATTTATGTTAATTAATTTTTCTTTTTATAGTTATTTATACTTTATATTCTATATTATTCTGTGTGTTACATTTCCAAAGCAGGATTCAGCTGAAAGTTTTATTGAAATAGGCAAGAATTTCTGCTCTCTCTACAACTTTACAACATCATCTGCTTCTTCCTTATCCCATTTATTTGTGGTTATCGTAATATGTTTTTCTCTTCCATTCATCCCTGTTCGCAGTCATCTCGTTATTTTATATTAAATGTCATATAAAATATATATCTAAAGTTGTAAGAAAGGGAGTAACCTTTCTAACAACTTCCCTTGTATTTTAATACAAATTTTTGTATCTTGCGAGGAATCGAACCCACCATCGGACATACAATTGGAATTGCTCCCCAGAATCAATCAGCCGTTACGACTAATACACCGATCTGCACCAATCCGTTCACGAGTATGATGGATGCGCCAGTCATTGCATCCATTATTTAACGGAGCCCAATAACCGTGGCCACCTCGTCGCCTAGTTTGTAAAATCAAACCAAACCTTCAAATAAACAATCCCTATTGAAATCGGAGATTCATTAACACTTGCAGACAAACATCAAAGGGTCGCCGCCGCCGAAAACACTCGGGCCCTGTCAAGTTTTTATAACAACAGCAAACACAATCTTACGCTTGTTTGATGGTAGCCGCATCCGTTCAACACAATGGTGCATAGATTCGGTTCCCGCCTCGGAACTTTTTGCCTTAAATAATTGTGGTTGTTTACGCGTGGATAAATACCTCTATTGGTAGCTAATTGGTTTTACTGAACCTTTTCGGATAATGTTTTATGGTAGAACTTCCTAAATTGAATAGCAGAAAATAGGTTCGAAAGGAAAGATATAATGCAATGGTATTTATATCTACCTTAGATCTATTTGACGGCCTCGGTGGTGTAGTGGTTATAGTATACCGCCTTACTTCCGATGGTCGCGGGTTCGTATGGTACAAACATTTGTATTCATAAGTATTATTGTTTGTAGCGGTCTGGGTGTTTTATATGTATAATATGAATATAAAAACAAATGTATATAATGAAATATATAAATGTATGTATATAATCCTACTAATATTAACCTAAAAGTTTGTGAGTATGGAACTATGGCTGCATAGATTAATGGATGAATGTTTGTTACTCTTTCACGCAAAAACTACTGAACGGATTTTGATGAAACTTTACAATTTATTATATCAGGCGCAGATCCAGCCGCATATGGAATACTGTTCTCATCTCTGGGCGGGAGCACCACAATACCAGCTACTTCCATTTGACCGCATTCAGAATCGAGCAGCCAGAATCATTGATAATCAACGTCTATGTGTTAGTGTCAATATGTTATTCTGATGTATAAGCTATATTATTGTTTTTTTTTTTAACACAGAGGACAAACGAGCATGCGGCTCGCCTGATGGTAAGTGATTACCGCCGCCCATGAGCATCCGCAACACCAGGGGAATTGCAAGTACGTCGCCGGCCTTTTAAAAAGGAATAAGCTCTTTTCTTGAAGGTTTCAATATCGTATCGGTTCGGAAATACCATTGCTGGAAGGTGATTCCACAATTGTTTATGTTTATTGACTCTATTGGTTGGTTAGTATGTAATATCATGTTATCTGTGGTAATAGGTTTTAGTTTCATTGCATAATAAGTTTATTTACGCAATAACTAATTTAAATAATTACCTTCATAAACGCCATAAAATTATAATTATTTACACATTAAAAGATAATAAAAAACTATTATATTATTATTTTATTCATTTATTATAAAATTTCGCAATAAATCACAAAAATAATTTACCTAAAGTGGTAGATTATTTTTGTGATTTACTCGGATGTTCACAATTTAAATATTATTGTTTTACTAGCTTTTGCCCGCTGCTTCGATCGCGTTAATTTATCCCCTTAGGGGTGGAATTTATCAAAATACTTTCTATCGGAATGGCTACGACATAGTAGCTTAATGCATGCAAAATCTCAGTCCGATTGGTTTAAAATTGACAAACTTTCATCTCCTATTTTATCCCCTTGGGGGTAGAATTAATCAAAATCCTTTCTTAGCGGATGCCTACGTCATAACATCTATCTGCATGCCAAATTTCAGCCCGATCCATCCAATGGTTTGGGCTGTGCGTTGATAGATCACTATGTCAGTCACCTTTGAGGTATATATGTATATTTAGATTGTAATTGGATGATATTTTAATACTTTTAATATTTGTTTGATCTACATTCTCGGCTTTAAGGTCCGCGCTATTGAAGACGAATTCACCGGGACTAGGTTTTTTCTTCAGTTTTCCAGGGGTAACCGCGTGGAGGTCAACCTGACTACATTGTTACCAATGGGGTCGAGAGACCACATTACTAACGATCCCTTTCGTCCCACCGAGACTAGGTTGAGGTGGTAGGGCCACGTGAAGATACGACAAGAGAGTCATATGACCAAGAAAATCTTGATCATCACATCACATCTGTCCTGAGTCTTCAAGTCGTCGAAGAAGGAATTTGGATACGGTCCCAAAGAAGAAGACCATTAGACTAACTTAGAAACCGAAATAAACGACTTGAAGACTCAATAAGATGTTCCCGTCGAAGAAGGACTAGTAGAGCAGACCCCAAAGAAATAGGAAAAGGAGAGAGGCTAGAGAGAGAGAGAGATGTGGTTTACTCTATTAGGGTCCTACAGACGGTTATCACTGCTAACGGTAGAACCAACACGAGCCGTCGACACCTGTTGCTGCCTGCCGTCAATGCATTATGAACGTTATTGTAAACATATTAAAATTCAATTACTGCATTGAACCATATGGACTCATATTGAAATTTTATACAACGAAAATTGCAATTTATATCATTTATAGGCATTACCTATAAATGATATAAATTGCAATATATGCAATATAAATATAATATATATGACCTAGGCTACAGTATATTATGCTAAGTTATAAGAAATGATATTTTATATTGTTATAAATACATTTCAGGACAGACCATTGAACTTGACACCCATTTAGATCTCACCTCTTTTGTCGTTGAAGTCAACAATCAAGGCATATATCATAATATTAAACTCGGCTATCATTTCACATTTATGTTTTTGATGGGATTATATTATACATATTAACCTTCCTCTTGAATCTATCTATCTATTAAAAAAACTCGCTTCAAAATCCGTTGCAGTTTTAAAGATTCAAGCATACTCAGGGACGGACAGACAGCGGCAACGACTTTTTCGTTTTATACTATATAGTGATAATGCTTTTTGTAATGCTATATTTACAATTTCACATTTTTTGACGGCCTCGGTGGTCTAGATTTTAGCACATTGCCTTACTTTCGATGGTCGCGGGTTCGATTCCTTGCACGGCACAAATATTTGTATTAATGAGTATGATTGTTTGTATCGGTCTGGCTTTTTACTATGTATAATATGTATGTATTTATGAAAAAAATATCTATGTATTTGTATCAGTTATCTAGTACCCATAACACAAGCTTTAGCAACCTTAACTTGAGTCTAGATGGCGCTGTGTGAATTGCCCTTATTATTATTATTATATGTATATACTATATACGTTGTATATCATCTAAATAAAACTCGTCAATGTATTGTACTTCTAATTTCAATACAAATATGTCATACATTTGTTTGTGAGGCACAGTAATGATTATTAAAAAAGTTTAATATTGCAGCGACTCTATAGTTCCAAACAGAACGTAACGTTATGTTTCAATCACAACTAACAGGATTCACGTAGTTAGTTGTGAACTAGTTCCAAAGACAAACATTAGCCGCCTAAACAAATATTAAAATGGCGTCCCTAATTTATAGAAACGCGCGAACGGACTGGCGCGCGGCGAAGAGACCCGATCTTGCAATAAACACGTTTTTTGTTTCGCATGTCCGCGCACTGTCAAATATATTACGACCCGTGGTGTTATTTACGACCTCTGTCGTCCGCCCATACGTTATACTTAGTATCTTTGTTTGGACACAATAAGCAATATTTCTAAAGGGCCCGCCGTCGCTCGCAGCTGTTGATATGGGTTCCCAAATTGACATATTTAATTTGATCGCCACGGAGGGTCCGTTCCGACGAGGTCGTGTTTGACAGGTTTTAGTGTCGGATTAACATTAACGTTATGGACTTAACGTTGTCAATAAACGAGAAATATCGCCTTTTGTAAGGCATGTTTACGGATCGCTTTACGAGTTTCCTAGTAAAGCGATCGCGCGTTGACACATCAAACGGTTCCATAGGACTTGGAACAGATCAATTTTCCCCTTTGAACTGGGCCTGGTGCGTGAACAAAGCGCTCGTAAAACAGTAAGTAGTTTCGAATGTGTCAGATGTAAAGTGCGCGATGACGACGGCAAAGAAAAAAGCTGCTGTTGTCGGGACGGAGGCGTAATAAGAGTGTTGTAGAACAAAAAGCGTTGGAGTAGCGCGGGCGGCATGAGCAGGTAGACGCTCAGTCAGCTCGCGGCGGCGCCGCTCAAAGCGCTGCCCGTCATGGGTGGCGAGCGACCAACACCATAGCACGTCTCAATCCGCACCGGCTGCCGGCCATACCGCCTTTCCTTTTTCCCCTACCGCAATGCAGCTATGTGTCGTTTCCGCTTTATTTTTTATAACCAAGCGCTGCAGCGGAGAGATATAGCATGCCCGTTCTAACAAAGTCTCAAGATATCGCCGTCTCTGTCGCTCGGATAGAGGGACGCGGGGAGAGAGGTGCGGCGGGCGGCGGTGGGGTCCGGTCTCTCAGAGTCGTCTCGGTCGCAGCCACGTACACACGCGTTTTCAGTCAGTCGCAAGGATCCGTGACACAGAGTAGTTGTGCTGCTAGAGGCGTTTCGTGTCAGCGCAGTGAAGTTTATAAGTGATCGTAAAAGTTCTCTCCAAATGGTGGTGCTTGAAGACGGAGGAATGATGACCAGTAATCCTAATCAATATTTACAACCTGATTATCTGACCCCGCTTCCGTCCTCTGTAAGTATACATTTATATTAAATTTTTAGTAAATAATATTTTTACTTTTAAAAATTTTAATTTCGTGTCGCATATTTTTAAAGCATTTCGTAAGTTATTAAGTTTACTTTTTAATTAAATAATTCGTTTGAATAACCAAAATTTTGTGCATTTTAATAAGCAAAGTTTAGTTTGAAATTATTTGAACTATTAAAAATTTTTTATAACTATTTATGTTTATCCACAATAAATATTTCTTTTTAAATGAATGATTATTAATTTATTTTTGCCATTGTTACAGTTGGACTCGAAGAAAAGCCCGCTTGCGCTTTTAGCGCAAACTTGCAGTCAAATCGGCGCAGACACTTTACCGACAAAGCCGTTGTTACCTCCAATGGATAAGAAGAAAGTGAACAGTGTTAATAGTGAATCAGTTAGTCGTTCTTCACCAAACAATAATGTAAACAAAGACAAACCTCGTTCGACCCCGGACAACAAACATCTAGCGTTCAAGCCCTATGAAACTAATGTAGTTTCAAAAAAACCTGAGGAAACACGACCTTCCTCAAAAGCGAGCTCAGACAGTTCGGACGAGAAGAAATCTGGAAAGAGCACACCTGGACGGAAATCTACACCACCTGCCGCGGAAAACGGAAAAAGTAGCCCATCAACTGAAGCAAAATCATCACCAACTGCATCCTCAGGGACCAGTCCCATTATCCGATCTGGATTAGAAGTTTTGGGACATGGAAAGGACCATCTTGGTGCATTTAAAAACTTACCCGGACTACCTGGGTTCAATCCACTTACTGGACTGTGCTGCCCTCCTGGCATGGAGCAACACGGAAATCCCGCTTTTAGGCCTCCATATGCAGGCGCTCCGTTCAGTGCTCACCACGCAGCAATGCTTGCCGCCGCCGCTGCATTTCCTGGCTCCTCGCCTAACCCGTACCTAGGTTACGCTAGAGTCAAAACACCAGCCGGTGGAGAAACTTTAGTCCCTGTATGCAAGGACCCTTATTGTACTGGATGTCAGTTTTCCGTCAATAACCATCACCTGCTTATGAATAATGGATCGTGCCCAGCTGGTTGCACACAGTGCGAACATCAAAAATACAATCTGGCAATGGCCATGGCCCTTTCACAGCAAGGGGCCGCTGCCGGTGGTCTGCCTTACCCACAACTTAGTCGCCCCTACGTTTGTAATTGGATTGTTGGTGAATCATATTGTGGTAAAAGATTTGGAAATTCCGAAGAATTGCTGCAGCACTTGAGAAGTCATACGACAGACGGTTCCACACCAGCGTCCGTCCAATCAACTCAACCATCGTTATTAAACCCTTTAAATCCGCTTTTCACGACAGCGGGTCTCCGAAGCGCATATCCGACGGCACCTCTCAGTCCGCTGTCTGCGAGTCGGTACCATCCGTATTCAAAGGCTGGTCTCCCAGCGAGTCTTGGTGCTTCTCCTTATGGTGCCTTTAATCCAGCTCTAGGGCCTTTTTACTCTCCGTACGCGATGTACGGACAGAGGCTCGGAGCGGCTGCTGTTCACCAATAAATATCAGGAGTGCAGTGAAAACCTGGACGTTTGGACTGATCATAATCTAATGTTGTATTGTCCAATTTTCTTCTGTGATATCGATAGACTCTAATTGATGTTCGAAGGCGTGATGCGCCATGACAAATTTAGTGATTAGTGCAATTTAATATAGGAACTATTTATATAAGTGAACTTGCCGACGGAGTTGCTTCTACGCAAGATATATCTGAACAATGAGGACTCTGTACAGCCAAATCATTTGTGTAAATAATAATCTCTATGTTTAATAATAAATGAATATTTCAAATATAATATCTACATGCCAAAGTTTCATTTCATTTATCGCGTCCGTAAAACATCCCTAATTGACATCCGTGAGAGATGGCGAACATCTGTAGCGAGCAGCGACTCGCGTTTCATCTCGCTCATAATTGATAAGAAACGTTAATGGTAGTTTTATGTAAAGCAACTTGAGAAACAACTACAATGATTTAATGCTAACAATAAACCGACAGCGGAGAGCTGTTATAAAAACGCGTACATTAGAAAGTGTAAATAAACACTGAAGAGCAAGTAGGTGAAATAGATTTATCAAAGTCTGAACGCGCCGCTTTCTCACTGAACAGTAATAAACTGCTCAGAATGATTGATTAACGCATCTAAAGCGCATTAGAGCCGTCGATCAATGGAAAATTGTGTAGATATAAGACAAGAGATCCCAAACCCACCCACCGGTTTAATGAAACGACTAACAAAATTTATTTCATTGAAGACTACAAAAAGAATGTATACACAACGCGATGGCCGACGTTGCACGTCATTAATAACAAAGCCGTGAGTTGTCAGCTTTGTTAATGTCAAGTTTTTTAATAAATGCTATTTTGATTAGGCCCATGTCATGTCGAAAATTCAACTGTCAAAAACATAATTGGTCGCACGGAAAGACTGAGACAGGTGGCAGAGTAATGAGGGACAGAGACGCCAGACATCTGTTTTATTTTTCACGGCGCCGTCACTCGTCACCGTGAACTTATAAACACTTCTTTGTTCTAAAATATGGGAATTTAAAGTTATTTAGTTCAGTATTTGTTTCAATATTAGGTACATAGGTTCTTTTCGTTTTTGGTACATTTATCATAAACAAGATAACATTTTATAATTAGTTTGAAGAATTAGAATTTTATTCTCTATTAGCTGAAAGTTTTAACACTCTGTGCAATTAATGAATTACAATTAAAAATAACTATTTCTATTTTTTTTTATAATATAACTTTTAATTTAAATGTGTTAACTATAATTGTTTACAATTTTAATAATAATCCTATTTAATAGATATAAATATATCTTTTTTTTAGTTTTTATCGTTTATAATCGGATAACGCTAGACAGTCACAAATAGCGTTAAAATACGAAAAACGAAACAGCAAAACAGTTTTTATAAAGCAATTTAAATAAATTTAAATATATTTCATTGGAATAAATATTTTTATCCTGTTAACGATCAATTAATGCTTTTACAATTTACATTAATAATAAATAAAATGGCGGATGTCTACTTTCTTACACTGTAATCGATTTTATTGCAGCGTCGCCTAATTTGAATATTTAATTTCATTAATAATAAATATTTATCGCTGACTAATAAATTTGTAGTCAATAATTAATAAATAAAATATGAAAGTGATTAACACTTTTATAAATACATTACTACCGTTATATGAATCTATGTTGACACTGACATTATTTTTAGTGTAGTTTTTTTTCTTTTTTACGGCTTGGCACGTCTGTGCATTTGCCATAGTGTAGTTTTATAGAAGAAACAATTTTCAGAATAAATTGCACTTGTTTATAGTTTTTATTATCGTCATTTCCATATCACAGTAACGATCGTATCGTAAAGTAGTCAACTATTTAACGATATAGTCGACTATTACTCATATGACTTAATGTTCAACGTTTGTTGATTTGTTTGTTGCGATCGCCCGTATTAATGTGGGGTGTCCACACAAATCTTGTTAATGGGCAGTAATTTATTGAAATTTTATTGCGCTTTCTTCCTCACTTCCACACTTACGACATGTCATGTTAGTTAATTTATTTATAACACTCAATTCAGAAAGTATTTATAATCAAAATAAATTGATTAATAATATCATTAATTTACTATACAATATATTTGATTAGTTTTTCTATAACATAACAAGTGAATACGAACACTTGTATCAGATTTGTGAAGTATTACATTGGAGTGAAACTAGAATCAAAAGAAATTAATAATAATTCAATTACAATATTGAATTATATCTATCTATAATATATAAAGCTGCATTACGTTGACTCACTGACTGATTGACATAGTTGTTCTCCCAGAAGGAGCGTCCGGGGGTCGAGACGATGTATGGGGGAAATGTTCCTTTGGCTAGGGTGTCCACGAGAAAATTCCGAAATTTGGGAAAATCCAAGATGGCGGACAAAGATGGCGGCTAATTTTTACAGTTTTGCTCAGATCGATTCCGTTCAAAGAGTGATTTGGCACGTCTCGGCGGGACTCAAAATATGGCGTAAAAATAAACAATTAAAATCCAAGATGGCGGCGAGAAAATTGCCAAAATCTGGTTGAAATTTTTAAAATAAAACTACAATAATATAATACATGAACTTAATAGACTAAAATATGATGAAAATAAACTATTTTAAACACATATTCATTATTTTGATTCTGTCGCAACATTAAGAATGTTTATTTGAGTCATAGCAAATTCAATTGAAGATGTTAATTATAAAAATCAAACTGTCTTTAGGTGTGTATGTTTGTACGGAGAAACTCGAAAATACTAAAACCGATTTTATAGATAAGCTACATAAAGCTAAGTTATCAGCAAGTAACATAACACTAGTGTGTCTACCCAGGCAGCGCTGCAGGCTTCAACTAGTGTATTAATAAAGAGCGTAACATTACATAAAATATAAATGCAACTTAATCATTAAGTAGTTAAATTACTTAATCTGTTTTAAGTAATAAATTAATGACATAATGCAATTCATTGCTTATCATTAAGTTACGAGTACATTAGTTAAGTTAATTACGGGTTATTATTTATCGTTCTTTTTACCGTAGCCAACTAACCTTAACAGTTAACCCTATTATCTAGTTTAATTTTTATTTCCAACTTTTAATTAATAGTTTTCATTAACGTAATCGTAATAATCGGTTTACTGGTGGGCGTGGGTTTATGTTACTATACTAGCTATGCTCGCGGTGATCCGCGTGAAATTTATAGTCTATATATTATTCTATGTATAAGCTATATTACTGTACAGTTTCATTAAAAATCAGTTCAGTAGATTTTTCGTGAAAGAGTAACAAACGTCCATAAATACTCTCAAACTTTCGCGTTTATAATAATAATAAGATAAGATTTATTAGACAGTAGATACTATTGTCTTGGTTTGTCGTGGTTAAGTTAAAGATAAAGATTTTTTCATCTAACTGTGGTAACGAAGGTGATTCCACGACATGATTGAACGTGGTAAGTTTTTTGGAAAAACACACTGTAGAAGATCGCCTTTCATTCAGAGGATAGGAGTGTTTTTGTAACCTCTTGATAAATTGAGTTATCGTTAATTTATATCTATTTTAAACACATCTATATAAAATGGCCTATTATAATATTGAAGAGTTTGTAAATGTTTTTGTAGAAAAAAAATAAAAGTCATAGTACTGATAATTATTATTTGATTGCACGCAGAATAAGTGCATAGCGATTTCTATGTTGATTATCATATGCCTCTTACTTGTTAATGTGTATTATTTATTTAAAATAAAATTTATTCAAAAGAGCAACACAAGTTTCTTGCTCGTTCTTCTTGTGATGAGTCGGCGTTTCTATTAAGTGGTAGAATAAAAACAAATATGACTATTCAAAAGTGCTTGTATTGAGTTTATTTGAATATAGATTATATTTATTTAGTCATAGTAGATATAATTATGTTTTGATCACTTAAATTAATAATGTATGTAGCTGTCGTAAAAATAATATTACGTCCTGTAATTTTATTCGACGTTGCTATTAGATTTTATGATCCTTGACGTTTATTCTCATTACATTACGTATATTATGCACATAAATATGTCAATTTTACTATAAAACAAGCCACTAAGATAAGTGACACGACTTTGAACTACTTCTACAGTAAAGTTTGAAACTACTAGCGCCATCTGTTACGCGTCGGTTGAACTTCATACTTGTACTGGAGTTTTGTGTTCAAACTTTGTTTTACTACTGAGGTGTCAGATATTAATGAAGATTGACAATTTGGACACAAAAGCTATAGATATAAGAGCTATTTTTATATGCACTAAAGTATTTTGTTTTTCGATAACACATAACCTCAAAAATACCTTTGAGGTTATGGAGTTATTTTTTTTTTAACTTATCATTAACTCACTATAATGTCAATTAAACTGATATGTATAAAATAGTGTTTAGTTGTTTTAACGTGTGAAATGTGTACCTAATTTATTATAATAAAAGAAATAGCAACTTTCTCCGTGTAGAGACTCACGGCGTCTATGTATGACAAGTTCCATCTAAACAATAATTTATACACCTGCCGAGAACGCCGCAACAATATAATTATACCCCGCGGCAGTCACTGTTAAATGTCAACTTTCCAATAAAAAAACGCTTCTAATTTATTCATTTTAATGACATTTTTACACTTTCCGGCTGATTAATCGCCGCATTAAAAAGTTTAAAGGGGACACATAAATCGTACAGTATTAATTGAGATAATGATGTAGATTTTATTAATGCAATCGGGACCGCCTTGAAATATCACCGAGAGTTTCTTTACAAATGATCTCTCGTGGGGAGATTAACTCTGACAGATGCGTTCAGAAGATTGATGCGGCAAAACATTATAATCTGTGCAGCGAAATAACCAATTACGATTACCATAAACATAAGGTGAAGTAAATTAACATATTATCAAGTGATGAATTATGCATGCGCGGTAATGTAGAGCCCCATGTTGAATTAGAGGGTTAACTCACCCTTCGAAGCCATTGTTGTCAAAATCTTTCGAGCTCCACTTATTATGTTAATAACCTGAATTTTTACCTGTTTATTTATTCTGTACAACTATTTTCGTGCGCTTGTCAGTTACATCTTTTATTGATACATTAGGGTCCTTTAAAAGTTTCCTGCGTGTGTAATGTAACCCTCAAATGATGTGTAAGGACCTTTTGTGTATGGACCGGGACCGGAAATGTGACAATGTGTGACCGAATGATTGAGATCTGCCGATAAATCGAG